ATAATTCATGTAATTAACCCTGTAATGCCAAATGTGTCATATTTGATACGGTTTCTGAAATGTTTTGTTTTTGACACCTTTTGCTTAATTTAATGGTAAAAACTTTGCTGAAAATCCTATTGTACACAATCAGATACACCTGATAACAGGGGGCAGAAGACTACACAAAAATAATCTTGACTTATCACATAGTAATCAATTACTAATATTAAAAATGTATTTCCGTTTTTTCCTTTTAAATATTTTGTTAAAAGGCCAAATAAGGAATTCAAACCAAAAAAAACTAATTTTCTGTTTTGTTTTACTCTTGGATCGGGCTTTAAAGGGTTCATTCATGTAGTTTCGTCATTTTATCAGATTTTCCTGCATTTTAGGGTGAAATAAACCGATCGTCTGATGCCTTTTTGGTGCTTACAAATCCTTAAAAAAGCTTGAGCTGTGGACAGAAAGTGAGCCGGGTTCCCACTGTGTTCCCCCACTAAGGTTAGCATCTCCTCCCGCCAGTTAGCCCTCGTCTTCCCTCTGTCCACCGTGCACAAGAATCCTTTGTTTTCCCCGAGATGAAAGGGACAAAAGCCACCATTGAAGAACACGACTGGGCGAGCGAGTCAGTGAAAGAGAGGAGGGCCTGGAAGTGTGTGGACGGTGTGTGAGTATGCAGGGATGCACATTCGAGGGGGCAGAAACCGTAGAGGGGGGGGGCAAACGGACGGAATAATCGGCTCCGAAAGGGAGGATTGTGGGAGAATTAAGCGAATCGGGTGTGTTAGCCCGATTCTTTAGCTGGAAATCTGAGAATAATGTCATTTTTAAGTATAAAAATAACATTGATTGGGTCAAATTAAAGTATATCAGCTGGGCTGATTCTTTAGCTGGAAATCTGAGAATAATGTCATTTTTAAGTGTAAAAATAACATTGATTGGGTCAAATTAAAGTATATCAGCTGGGCTCTGACAGACAAAAACCTCTCTCTGGATCTCAGTGGGCAAAATATAGTTATAGAAGGAATAAGACAATTGGTAATTTACATAGATCACGCGATAGCATGCTATGCTAAAGTCAGTAATTATAACCAAATTTTAACACTCCTTAACAAAGGTTTCAGGCTCCCGCTCTCAGACTAACACAGTCAACAAAAGCCAAAGAAAAACAATACATTCAATGGAAAATCAACCAAAAACAAGCTAGCTGCTAACAGTTAACTAAAAGCAATAAATCTACATATATGTTAGCACGATTCTTTAGTTGGAAACCAGAGTAGATCAAAAGTATAAAAATGACATTTATTAGGACATAGTTAAGTGTTTCAGCTGGGCTCTGACAGACTAAAACCTCTCTCTGGGTCCCAGTGGGCAAAGAGCCCTGAGATCTGGGTGATGGGCATTATCTCCTGGGCTCCATCCGCCTCCTCAAAGGAGGACTGGACACAACCAAGTCCTACTGGCCAGTTACCTCTGGGCAGGAACAGGCCAGGTCCTAATTCATGCAGATGACAGGAATGTGGTAACAAATGGTGTGTGTGTGTGTGTGTTGACCTAAAGGTGGATCTAATGCAACAGAGAGAGAAAAAGAGAGAAAGAGAGAATATGTGGACACTGCCAAAGAAAATATAGTTCTAAAAGGAATAAGACAATCAGTAATTGACATAGATCATGCTATAGCTAATGCTATACACTATGCTAAAGTGAGTAATTATAACCAAATTCTAAGAAGGATAAAGGCTTTTATTGCAGTTTTAACAGGGCAAAGACACAATAACTGAGTTCTAAGCATCAAGATGCCGAATATTGTGGGATATCTCATTAGATTAGATAAAGAGATAACAAATTAAATAACAAATGGTGTGTGTGTGTGTGTGTGTTGACGTAAAGGTGGATCTAATGCAACAGAGAGAGAAAAAGAGAGAAAAGAGAGTCTGTGGACACAGCCAGAGACTTTAACATAAAAATATAGTTCTATAAGGAATACGACAATCAGTAATTTACATAGATCATGTGATAGCATACGATGCTAAAGTGAGTAATTATAGCCAAATGCTAACAGTATCTAATTTATTCCTCTGAGATAACACCCCGAACATTAGAACAGGGGTGTCAAACTCCAAAACACAGTGGGCCAAAATGTAAAACCTGAACAAAGCCGCGGGCCAAGATTGAAAAAAATGAACCTTTTAAAATGGAACAAAACAAATTTGCTTTAACATTGAATATGGAACAATCAACTATTATTACGTTATATATGACTTAATAGTGGAGACACGCAAAATCAAATTTCAAATAAAAAAACAAATCAATGGCATTCATTTATGAATGCCACAAAATATAGTTCTAAAAGAAAATAAAACAATCAGTAATTTACATAGATCATGTGATAGCATGCTATGCTAAAGTGAGTATCAGTAATCTGCATCAGTGTTTTTTCAACCACTGTGCCTCGGCACACTAGTGATCATCCTATTTCACCTAATTGGTCTAAAAAGATTTTTTGATAAGGAATTAATTTTCTGCAAATGATATGCCATTTTTGAGTGTCTGTGCTGTACTAGTGACTGGTGGAGTAATCATGTAATAATTCCGTATGACTAGATTTTGTATATAATTTTGTATATTGAAGTGGACATGTTAAGTGCAATTTGAAAGAAGAAATATAAAATAAGATACGAATACATTTTTGTGTTTATTATTCATGACACTTAAGGTAAGATAAGAATAAAATAATAATAAGCCACAGAATAAGTATTTTGGATAGTAGTAGGTGGGCCTTGCCTGCGGCAGTGGCCCCCCTAAAAATAACTATAGTGTTACTACAGGAGGCTACAGATTTGTTTAACATTTTTTGTTGGTGGTGTGCCTCGAGATTTTTTCAATTAACAAACTGTACCTTGGCTCAAAAAAGGTTGAAAAACACTGGTCTACATAGATCATGTGATAGCATGCTATGCTAAAGTGAGAATTTATAGCTAAATTCTAACAGGTGATAAAGGGAGAGCAGAGATCTGGACTATACCATTAGTATTCCAGAGGGGGGACCGGTCCCCTCCACTTTGTGCTGCTGTCCAGCCTCCTCTGGCCAACCCCACATCTGCCCGGCCAACAAATCAGCCCACACAAACACACACAAACACACAAACACACACAAACCCACACAAACACACAAACTCACAAACCGTGCTCCATTCAGGAGCTCCCGCCAGGACAGAGCGTCCCCTCTCAGACAAGCAGCTTCCTTTTCCCCAAAGATTAGGGTCAAGAGTGTCGATACGCAAAAAAGTATCAGTATCAGTGCTAAAACGTTGTACTCTTGGTATGGAGTATCGAATATTTTCGGTATCGAGTATCGAATATTTTAGTATCGTGACAACCCTACTAAAGATGGTAAACAACATGTTGGGGATCAGCTGCACCTGCCGGGGAAAAGCCGCCTCTTTTCTAAAGTTTTTTCCCGAGATTTCAACTTTTTTAGAGGTAGCTTTTCTTCCAAAATGTCATGAGAGGAGGAATAAAAAATAAAAACTGCTTTGCTTATGAAAAAAACACGAGAAAACAAAGAGTATTGAACATATCTGGCTCCTGTCACCTTTAAAAAGTTAAGCCAACGGCCTCCAAGCAGCTGGAGCTCAAACGTCCCGTTTTTAACAAACTAAGCTAACCGGTTTCTCTGGTTTTTTTGCCTGTTTTTGTCTGCTGACCTCTGTCTTTCTCCCCAAATCAAATCAGTGGAATCAGAGTTTCCATACTCACAGGCTGGACGGGATCCAGAGCAGGTTCTCCGACAAGTGACCACAGCTGGCTTAGATAAAGAAAAAAAAAAAAACACTAGGACAGCAGTTTATTTTAAAAGTGGGAGGAGCCCGATTTATATTAATTTATCCTGACTAGTTAAAAACACGCTTCTCGTTTCACTGTAACTGTAATTAAAAGTGAATGATCACGACGGGTTTGTGCCAAAAAAACAAAACTTCTTTCGCTTTGACTCAAAGATCAGGAAGTGGCCGTGCCGGGTAACCATGGCGAC